CTATGGTGGCTATGGCTATGGTGGCCTAGGCTATGGCTATGGTGGCTATGGTGGCTATGGTTATGGATGCTGCCGCCCACTCTGCTACAGAAGATGCTGGTCCTCTGGCTTCTACTGAGGCATTTCCTCGGCTGCTGAGCCTATTGGCTGTCACGTCCTGTCTCACTGGAATCATCTCCAATTTTCTTCACATGAGAAATGCTTGAATATCTTCAACACTACGAACTATATACCAAATTATCTGAAATAAATGACTGAGATTAGCTACCAGTTTCAATTCACCTTATTTCTTCATGGTGTAGTAGTTTGAAGAAATGTTTTTTTTTCTTTGATCATTATAACACTATGTAAAATGTGATCAAATTTGAATGTCAACTTCTGTTTAGAAAGTCCATATTATTAAATAAACTATTTCATAAGAAATCTGATTCTGTTGCAATTGTTTTTATTTCCCTATCATTATAAAATGCAATTTGTGTATTTGGATGTGATTTGTGATGTGAGTTGTGTTTTTATAGAAATGAGAGAGAAAGAAGGAGTATGCCATAATTATTTTAGAGTCGTATGTGGTCCAATAATTAACAGTACAAAAATAATTATGTCTAAGTGATCATAAAAATCTGTTTTTATACATGTTTTTCATTTCTCCTAAAATAATCCTTTGTTTATAAGTTTTTAAATGGTATTTAATACAATGATGTATGTCTATAACATAAGATCATTTGAAACTTTTTGCATTTAATGTTTTGGGTCATTTGCATCATCTACAGCTCTGCCTCTGTGAAAAGTACCACAAATTAATGGTATGTGTGTCTGTGTGTGTGCGTGTGCTTGTGAGTACAGTTAAGGATAGATATACGTATGTAAATAAGTCTGTATAAATATCTCTATCTATACATCAATATTTATCTCTGTATTTATTTCTGTACCCATATCTTTAACTGTATCTACATGTCCCCTCTAAACAATGACTAAGGAATCATTTTCAAAATGTGTACATTAATAAAGATATTTTGGATTATCATTATGGCAACTAGATAGTTTTTCAAAATATATGAATCTATTCTCTTTATAAGATATTAGCTATTGTATATCAAGATAAATTTATCAAAAACAGGAACTATTTTCTAAGTATCAAATTAGCATTAGGTTATTTTCTTTTTCAYTCCAAAATCTGGTCTTCATCAAATCTATATGACTTCACAGTATAATTATTCTCCAGAATCAAATTCTTTTTATTACTTAAGTTAGTTATGCTTCACTTGGAAAACAGACTGACAGCATTAAGTACAAGAAAACGCTGATAGAAGAAGTAATAAAAARGGGGGGTGAATATTCTGAAGATGGAGAAAATGGGGTGAAAATGAAAGTTCTAGAAACCAGTCGAGGTGGTACTGGAACAAAGCTTAACCAGCTAAATTCTGAGTCTACTTTTAATATTTCAATCTGACAAGAATGCAGTGGGAGAATACTGACTAAAATAGAGCCAGGTTTCTCCTGGACATATTTTAGAAACTGTAAGTCACAGGGGTCCCTTTCCTAAGCAAAATCATTTCAAATGAGATCTGAAAAATATGGAGAACTGTTTTCATAACAACATGATGAGAAAATCATCACTAGAATTAAAAAAGAATATCCTTAACAGAGGAGACAAATGAGCATTCACTACAGACTAGACCAATTGAGGTAAGTGGATCTTAAAATTTAGAGCCTTACTTTTTGCATTAATCCTTGTTTAAATTGGGCCAGTCAGACCATTTCTTTCTTTTTCTTTTTCTTTTTTTTTTTTTTTTTGAGAGAGAGAGAGAAAAACATTTTTTTTAATATTTACTTTTTAGTTTTCGGCGTACACAGCATCTTTATTTGTATGTGGTGCTGAGGATCAAACCCAGCGCCCCATGCATGCCAGGAGACCGCGCTAGCGCTTGAGCCACATCCTCAGCCCGGACCATTTCTAATAGTCCAAGGGGAATGGCTACAGGTTGAACTTATGGACTCCCTCAGGAATATTCAAAAAAGGCAACAGATAACATCAACCACATATCAGAATTTGTAGTAAAATAGGAGAAATGAATCCAAGAATCAAATTAAATTTCTAGTTCTCTTTTTAAAAAATAAATAAATGATATGAAAAATTATTTAACAATTTAGCTTCAGAAAAGCAATGTAATAATAAATACATTAATCCTGCTTAAAAAGTTAAATTTATTATAGAATCCCCCCAAAAAGTCAAGATACTTTCTATCTTTTTGTTGTTATTGTTGTTTATTTGTATTTGCAACACACAACATAATGACTTAAAAATTTTCATCACATGGTCTATGACAAAAAAATGTCAATGGGTAGCTGAAAAAGGCTACCAGACACCCATGCATTTCTCTCCAAAGTCACATATGTTCTAAACAAGAATCCTGGACAAAAGCAGGCTTTCATCATGCCTAGGTACCTGTGACTATTTTAGTATTCACTAATAGTAAGGAGCAGAAATGGCAGGATATCTCCAGTCAGCACACATTTGGGATCAGCTACTATAGAATCAAATGGAAGCTCCTTCCTTCTTTACCAATTCCTCCAATGAGTGCATAAAGTACAGTGGGACAAAATTTAGATTTATCTCTGTCTCAGGTGTTGAGTTATCCTCTTCTAATAGGTCTTCTTGATTTTATGTGAATGAAATTTTAATGAGTTTAATTAACTATTAATAACCAAACCACAAAAAATAACTTTTCAAGTCTGAATATACTTGTTTCCACCAATTCTTTATCATCAAATCAAAATTGAGAAAGCAAAGAAGGAGTACATGGCTCATTTGGTCCCTCTGATCTATCCACACACATTTTTGAGGAGTGGGGTACCAGGGATTGAATTAAGGTCACTCAACCACTGAACCACAACCCCAGCACTGAACAATGTCATTCCTGCACCTGCAAGGCATTGGAAAGAGTGAATGTGATAGTTACTATAAAAAAAGTAAGAGCTGAGGGTGGAGCACCAACTTTATCTTACAGTGTTTTCATTTGCATCTATAAAATTCATTTGGGATGAAAAAGGGAACCATGGAGTAAATGTGGTTTATAACTGGAAAATGAACATGTGTTTTATGGAAATTTTGAAATATAAGTTAAGGATAATTCCAAAATTGAAAAGAAAGAGAAGAGAGGAAAAGAAAGTGAAGGAAGGAAGACTTTCTTATACTTAAGAATGGAAACAATACACAACAAAAATTAAAGTGAAATACATATTTTCATAGCTTACATGTCCTATGTAATCATATCATGGGTGTTCAATTTACAATATGTAGAATGATAGTTGGCATTCAAAACAGAACAGGAATCTCATCTTAAAGATCCATGAACGCTTCAGGGAATCCTGACATAGGAACAAAATCATCTCAGTTATGAGGCTTGTTTTGCAATAAATAGATATTCATAACATTGTAGAGGCACATGAGTGAGATAATATGACCATGCACTGTCTGTGGTTTTCTCCACCCAGCTCCCATGGTATATAAAAGACAGGTGGCAGACAGTGACATCCAGACTCAAGACACCTSCATCCTGATCCTGAACTGAACACTCCACTCCTGACAGCATGAGCTGCTACTATGGCAACTACTATGGTGGGCTGGGCTATGGCTATGGTGGCCTAGGCTGTGGCTATGGCTGTGGCTATGGTGGCTATGGCTATGGTGGYCTAGGCTRTGGCTATGGTGGCTATGGTGGCTATGGTTATGGATGCTGCCGCCCACTCTGCTACAGAAGATACTATTCCTATGGCTTCTACTGAGGCATTTTCTCAGCTACTGAGCCTATTGGCTGTCGCATCCTGTCTTACTGGAATCATCTCCAACTTTCTTCACGTGAAAAATGTTAAATGTCTTCAACATACCAACTGTCCACCAAAGTGTCTGATAAAAATGAATGAAATCAGCTACCTGTTTTGATTCATTCTTATCTCATCTCTTGGACTGAATGATAGTTTGGAGAAATTTTTTAAATAATTATAACACTGCAAAAAATGTGGTTGAATTTGACTGTCAACTTCTATGCAAACATCCATATTATTAAATAAACAGTATTTCATTGGAAATATTGTTACAATTGTTTTCATTTGTCCCCATCAATAAAGCATGTCCATTTGTATATTTGGATGTGATTAATCATGTGTGGGGGTTTTATAGAAATGGGAGAGAAAGACTATGCCTGAACTCTTCTGTGGTCATTATGAATCCCAAAATTAATAGTATAAATAAGTCTTTTCTAAGAGATCATACAAAATTTCTTTTTATATATGTATTTTTATCACTCATAAAATTACCCTTCTTTGTAAAGTTTTTTTGATGGCTTTTTTTATACAGTAGTGTATGTACACAACATGAGATCATTTTAAAATCTTTCTGTTTGATGTTTCATTTCACTTGCACCACCAGTGGTTGTAATATATCATCTATACATCTGTCTTTGTGAAAGTATCTCAAATTAATTGTTCATGTGTTTGCATTGAGAGATAAATATGTWTGAGATATATAAATCTCTCCATATAGATATGTATATGTACATATGTAGACATCTATATSTATCTCTGTATTGATATTGATATTTATGTTTGTATCTGTATCTATATCTCCTCCCTAAAAGATGACTGAAAACATTAACATATTGAAAATATGTGCACTAATAATGGCATTATGGATTATCACCATGACAACTAAATTGTATTTCAAAACATATAAACTTATTTTTGTATTTAGGAAAAATTAGCAAGTACTGTATAGCAAGATAATTTATCAAAACCATGAGCTACTTTCCAAGTATCAAAACAGCTTTAGGGTATTTTATTTTTCATCTCAAAATCCGGTCTTATCCAATGTACACAGCTACATAGGCTAATTTACTTTATAATCAAATTCTTTGGTTATGTTTCACTTGGGAAACAGACTGACAGCATTAAATGGAATGGCTGGTGGGTGGGGAAAGTAAGAAATAATGGGGTGAATATTCTGAGGACAGAGAAATTTGGTGAAGGTGAGAAGTTGGCAGGCCTAGGAGCCAGGCAAGATGGTGCCATGACAGAGAGTAGCAGAATCAAAGTCCATTTGTAATTTTTCAAGCCTGGCAAACCATATTTTGAGACATACAAAGACATAATCTGACAGAATGTGCTGGGAAAATACTGACTAGAGCCAGGTTTCTCCTTGAGATATTTTAGAAATTGTAAGCCACAGGGCTCCATTTCCTAAGACACAAAACCGAATCATTTCAAATGAGATTGAGAGATAATAAAAACTGTGTTTGTATCAAGACAATGATAAAATCATCACTAGAAGATTAGCAGAAGATTAAAATGCTTAACAGAAGGATACAAAAGGCATCATTTATAGACAAGACCAAAAGAAGTAAGTGGACCCTAACCAAAATTCAGAGTCTAATTTTACATCAGTCCTTGTTTGAATTGGGCCAGTCACACATTTTCTAACAGTGCAAGAGCAATACCAGTAACAGCAACACTAGTTTATAAGGTAAAATATAGTATTGCTTTGAATCCTCTAAAATTTTCATAGAAAATGTTGAACTTGTGGACTCTCTTGGAAATGTGCAAAAGAGGCAAGAGATAACATCAGCCATACTGGAACTTGTACCAAAACTGGAAAAATGAACCAATCATCAAATTAAAACTGTAGTTCTTTTTCTAAAAAGCAAATTAATAATATAGTAAATTATTTAACAAATTTTCCTTTAGAAAAGGATTGTAATATGCCTATTACTAAATGCATCAATCCTGCCTAAGAAACTTAATTTAGTGGTCAGTTTCAAAAAATAAAATATTTGCTATATTTTTTTTGGCAACACACAATACAATGACTTAAAATTTATTGGCATATGGTTTATGAAAAATAAATATCAATTGGTAGGTGAAAGACACAAGCAGATCTATGTGAATTTCTCTCAGAAGTCTCAAGGATCTACACGAGAACCTTGGAAAAAGCAGGTTTTCATCATGTGTATGTTCCTGTGACTCTTTTCAGTGCTCAGTGACAGCAAGGAGAACAACTGGTGAGAGTTGTGAGTCAGAGGACTTTTGAGTTCAGCAAAATTAAAATCAGACTGAAGCCTCCTTACCAGTTCCTCCAATGTCTGCATTAAGACTGGTGGAACATAATTTAGATTTGTCTCTGACTAGCTAAGGTGTTGATCTATCTTCTTATAATAGGTTTAGTTTATTTGTTATTAATTGAATTTTAATAAATTTATAAATTATTGATAAGGAAACAAAAAAAATTGTTCCATGACTGATTATCCTTGTTTATACCAATATTTAACCATCAGCTAAAATTTGAGGAAGCAAAAAAGGAGCTCATGGTTCATTTGGTTCCTCTGTTCTATCCATGCATTTTTACAGAAACATGACATTCCTGCATCTGCATGGCATTTTAAAGAGTAAATGTGACAACTATTATAAAACATGAAGAATTGAGATTATAGCATCCAACTTACCTTAGGGTGCTTTAGCATTTGTAACATTCGTGGTGGATAAAAAAGGGAATCATGGAGAAAATGTGGTTTCTAAATAAAACATGAACATGTGTTTTTTGAAAGTTGGAAATATAAATTAAGAATAAGTTCACAAGAAAAAAATGAAAAGAAAGTAGGAAGGAAGGATGGAAGGAAGGAAGGAAATTCTTCTATTAAGAATGGATGAAACAAAACAATAATCCGAGTGAAATACCTACTTTCATAATTTACACAGTATTACATAATCATAGGTACACAATTAACTATATACAAAAAGAGACAAGCATTCAGAATAGACCAAGAATTTCATTTTAAAGGCCCATAAATGAATTGCAGAATCCTGATGTAGGAGCAAAATCATCTCAGTTATGAGGCTTGTTTTGCAATAAGTAAAGACATTCATGATGTTGTCTGAGGCACATGAGTGAGATAATGTGACCATGCACTGTCTGTGGTTTTCCCCACCAGCACCCATGGCATATAAAAGGCAGGTGGCAGACAGTGACATCCAGACTCAAGACACCTACATCCTGATCCTGAACTAAACACTCCACTCCTGACAGCATGAGCTGCTACTATGGCAACTACTATGGTGGGCTGGGCTATGGCTATGGTGGCCTAGGTTGTGGCTATGGCTGTGGCTATGGTGGCTATGGCTATGGTGGCCACCTAGGCTATGGCTATGGTGGCTATGGTGGCTATGGTTATGGATGCTGCCGCCCACTCTGCTACAGAAGATACTATTCCTATGGCTTCTACTGAG